GCGTATGTAGTTTATCGTCTTACCCAGGACGTGTCGAATACGTGTTCGGATCTCGGTGTCACATTTTCCAAGTTTTGTTAAAACGCTTCCCAGTTATTTGAAATTCTGCACCTTCTTGATCTTTGATTCGTAAATCACGCCTTGGGCTTGTTGTCTTGCTGATGACTAAACTTTAGTAGTGCGAATTGAACTTATTAATTACCCTCAGCCGGAATATGAACTCAGCCTGCCTCTTCTATCTCCGGTGTCAATAACCATCGCGTCACATCCATCAAGCTCGTTGGCGTTTCGGTGACAATCAAACGGGTCGCTTTTCTTTCTTCTGCTTCTGCCTACTACATCATTTTAGCTACAGGCGCGCTGACGTGCACAAACCCGCCAACTGACTTGACATCTTTGACAAGCTTAAGAAATATCTTAGGTATCTTCTTAAACTTTTTCTAGAGGTATATAATAATGGAGAGCGGTTCGGATTGAGGAATCGGAGAGCCGAGTTCGAATTCCAGTCGAATCCATTACATTCGCAGAAAGACAAATACAAAAGGATGTATACTTAGGCTTTATAGATTATGCAGAAACGCTTCATAAAACACATCACGAAGAACTATTTGAACTGCTAGGTAAGCTTGATATATTTAGGAAGGATATTAAATACAGTGGCATATGGGAATAATGGATAGCGGGCAGCCAAGTTCGAATTTCAGTCGAATCCATTCACTTACGGGCTAATATCCTTGGGATAGGTATGAATCCACTTCTTCTCCCAGTAAATAGCAGGACAGATCGGCTTCTATAGCCTTGGATGGCAGCGGGTCTACCGCAGAAAGAAATGGCAACCTACTGTGGAAAAGAAATCTGTTTGTCATTTATGTATCGAAAGATACATGATCGCCTAAGCGTGTATCACGCATGGTACATGACTGACTGACCCTTGAGAGAAGTATGAATCCTTTTCTTTTCCTCCCAGGACAGACCGGGTTCTATAGCCTTGGATGGCAACTGGTCTACCGCAGAAAAAAAATGGCAACGTCCACCGGGGAAAAATCTGCCTCGTCAGTCATGTATCGAAAGATACATGATCGCCTAAGCGTGTATCACGCAAGGTACATAACTGACTGACCCTTGGGAAAAGTATGAATCCTTTTCTTTTCCTCCCAGGACAGGCCGGGTTCTATAACCTTGGATGGCAACTGGTCTACCGCAGAAAAAAATGGCAACGTCCACCGGGGAAAAAAAATCTGCCTCGTCAGTCATGTATCGAAAGATACATGATCGCCTAAGCGTGTATCGCGCATGGCACATAACTGTACTGACCCTTGCGAAAAGTATGAATCCTTTTCTTTTCCTCCCAGGACAGACCATGTTCTATAGATTTGGATGGCAACTGGTCTACTGCAGAAAGAAATGGCAACCTACTGCGGGGAAAAATCTGCCTCGTCAGTCATGTATATATATATATATATATATATATATATATATATATATATATATATATCATTAAAGACGACAGACAAGTTACTACGATTAAGCTTATTTAATTTTTCTTTTGTTCGCAAACGTGTTTTCTTTTCTGGGCACAGAGTCTATAGAAACTGTCCAAATGTTTTGTAATTCCGAGTGCTTTTGGCTATACTTTTAGCCATTATCAAGGATGATTTTATTTTTATGGGTTTTGTGAATGTTTTCTATAGTTAAATGGATGGTTTATTTTACGAATACTGTCAGTATATCGTGGCCGTGTTCGTAGTTAATATCATTGAGTGCTGGCTTCTTCATTTTTTTAAAAGCAAAAGGAACAGTCCAACATGCACATTACGAACTGATGATATGAAAATCCAACAAGTACAACAAATTAAATATATGGGAAGTATTTTAACGGAGAACGAAACGTGAAATCGAAATCTAAAGGTGTATTGGGATAGCCGAAGATGCCTTCCAAAAGCTAAGCAAACAATTAAGAATCAGAAACATTTCTTTAGAAACAAAGAAAAAATTAATCAACTGTTATTATCCTCACATACTGCATTGAATGCTGGATAAATTCCTCACAGATGAAGAGATTGGAAACTGGAGAATTATGGTTTCACAGAAGGATACTGAAAATGCCATGGAACGAACACGTGAGTAAGGACAAAGTTCAAGAGACAATGGTAACAAAAAGGGCACTTCTACTTAATATCAGGGAGAGAGGTTGAAATTTCTACGGCACATAATAAGGAAAGACGGCTTGGAAAACTTGACACTTACAGGACAGATTGAAGGCAAGAGGAAAACAATGCATGACCTACCTGGCTACCTTGAGGAACGGATGCCGGAGTAGCGTTTGGGAGAGAGTTACAAAAGACAGAAAGATGAGGAGAGCCATGACCGTAGAAGTTATCAACACTTCAAATATACACAAGAAAATGTAGAAGGAAACAAAGGTTTTGATGTTACACAAATACAACGCAGTTGAAATTGTCTTTTTTCCGTATAGAAAAAAGAGTTTATATATATATATATATATATATATATATATATATATATATATATATATATATATATATATATATATATATATTTCAGGCAGGCAGTATCTGTATATATATGTGTATCTGTAGACGAACAAAATCAATAAAAAAGATGAAAAGTTATTCATACCTGACGCGTTTCATCTTCTGAGGGATATATATATATATATATATATATATATATATATATATATATATATATATATATATATATATCTGTCTGTATAGGTTTAGGTAAATGAAATAACTAGACATTAGCGACTGCATACGCCTGTGATGGTGTGCATACACAGGTAAACAAATAGATCATTATCAAATTTAGCCAAAAGGTGTAGACATGATGGTGCTCAATGTGATTAGACAGCGCTAAGATATAATATATATGAATAAATACATACATACGAGTCCACGTCAAACGTAGGTATATGTGTATTTATTAACACACACACACACACACACACAGACACACACACACACAAACTAACACATACACACACATATATATTTGTATATATATATGTATGTATATATATATAGGTAGGTAGGTATCAATGTGGATAAATCAAATAACTATAGATGAGCCAACGTATATAGGTGCGTGAGTGTGCATACACAGTTAAGCGAATAAATATTTACTCAATTTAATATAAGGTGTGAAGAAAGTAGTGCTCAATGTGACAGCGCTAAGAAGTATATATTAATAAATATACATATATAAGTTTTGTTGTTCTACCAACTCATCAGGCACGAATTAGTTGAAGAATGTAATAATTAATGTCTGATGGTTTGGTAGAATAACTGGTGAACCTCGGTATATATATATATATATATATATATATATATATATATATATATATATATATATATATATATATATATATATTAATCAAAGAAATGAAATACATATTTTTGCAGACACTGTCAAATATTTTCCTTAAATAATATATAATTTTGAAAAAGAAAAAGAAATGAAAGATGAAACGTATTTACTTGATCTTTGATTAATATTTTTTTTAAATACGAATGTAATTCAAATGTATTTATTTGTAATAAACAACGTATAGTCTATTAGTTATTAGAAGTAGAAAAGTACTTTAAATTTGTGGGAATAGATTTTAAATATTAAAAATACGACTTACTCATATTTAGAAGACCTTTTAAGAAATCTTTCTGTATAAAGTTATAAATTAAGTGGCGAAATAAAAATGCCAAAAACTTTTTATCATTGAAAAACCCAGACGACAGGCGAAAAACGGATGTCATTGATTGTGAGCAGGCACACCTACTCCATCTTAACTTAACCTAATTTTGAAAGTAACATAAGTTATCTAGGGAAATCAAAGGCCAAATACCCCTTATCAAAATGATTGAATTTTTCCGTAACCTTAACAATTTAAAATATTGTCTGTGCTTATAAGTGAAGTAAATATCTTAATAGGTTATTACTAAAATCGCTTTGGAATGGAACGGAGCTATGGATTTTAAATTTAATTTTATAATTAAATCTAGAATTTTAGTTTCTGTTGTGAAACATGATAATTCCTGAATAGCGTTGGAACCATATTTTTAAAAGAATATATATATATATATATATATATATATATATATATATATTGTCGACTCTCCCGTCGAATTCGACGTATGAGGGTCAAGCAGATTAGTTCCTAGGAAACCGACAGCCCGACAACAGCACATGAGATTTGATTATAGTGGTGAAGGTTTCGTGCAGGACCATCCACACTTTTTGAAGGGCTTAATTCAGAGACCTGGTACACTACGTGCCACAAGGCCCCCATAACAACCCTCCGCAGGTTTTGAATTCAGAGTTGTCCTTCTCCTAGACCAGTTGCCATCCAAGGCTATAGAACCCAGTCTGTCCTGCTATTTACCCATAGCTGGAGGGAGAAGAAGAGGATACACACCTTTCCCAAGGGTATTAGCACATAAGTGCCACAAGGTCCCCAAACGACCCTCCGATTCGACTGGAATTCGAACTCGGCTCTGCGATTCCTCAATCCAAGCCGCTATCAATTACTCCAACGTATAGTTTCGTCTTATATTTGGGAATCATAAGCAGTGCACATCCACTGCCGAGAATCGAACCCGGACCGTTACGGTACAACGCAAGCGTCATACCAACGGACCCCGGGGACGAAGAGGTAACTATCTAGATTCGATTTAGCGTTACTCTTACTTTCTCTGGTGTAACACATCCAAGTATACGTTTCCCAGAAGACTGTGCCCCCGTCCCGCACACACACGAGCAACGACTTCTTTCCCAAAGCCGCTCCTTCCAGAGCATTAGAATCTGTTTCAAGCAAGGTTATACAAAAGATAGATGCGCACTGCTGAGGAGTCCCGGACGAAACGGGCATCCAGTGCTTTCTGCATTCTGTTGAAGATTCTTCTAGATGCAGTGAATTGCTTTGATTTGTTTATTCAAATCCCCCACCAATAATTTCTATCGTTTGTGTGTGTGTGCGTGTGTGTATGTGCATAAAATGTATCTATCTATCTATCTATCTATCTATCTATCTATCTATCTATCTATCTATCTATCTCATCCTTTCCCTTTATCTATCTATCTATCTATCTATCTATCTATCTAAACCTTTCCCTTTCATATCTATCTATCTATCTATCTATCTATCTATTGTCTTTCATTATCTATCTCATCCTTTCCCTTTCATTATCTATCTATCTATCTATCTATCTATCTATCTATCTATCTATCTATCTATCTATCCAATTCTCTTCGGATCTATCTATCTATCTATCTATCTATCTATCTATCTATCTATCTATCTAAACCTTTCCCTTTCATATCTATCTATCTATCTATCTATCTATCTATCTATCTATCCAATTCTCTTCGGATCTATCTATCTATCTATCTATCTATCATCTATCTATCTATCTATCTATCTCAGTCTGATCATTATATATATATATATATATATATGTATATATATATATATATATAAATATATATATGTATATATAATGAACAGACTGAGATCATTATATATATATATATATATATATATATATATATATATATATATATAATGAACAGACTGAGAAAGATAGATAGATAGATAAATAGATACATTATATGCACACAGTCTCTCTCTCACGCACACACATATAGATAGATATACACATTATATGCACACACACATACACACACATATAGAGATAGATATATTATATGCACACACACACAGATACACATCCACACACACACACACACACACACACACATATATATATATATAAATATATATATATATATATATATATATATATATATATATTGCACAACCTATTTGTTGTTACTTATTAATGATGATCCTTAATACGGATTGTTATTGACTGATACTCATGTTGGCCCGTGAAATTTCATAGAAAATATGCGTCCTCCGTTAGGAATCGAACCTATATCCTACACGTAATATAGCCTGATGTGCTCTACCAGTTTACCTACGAAGGAAGCGTCTGGTTAGCAAGGTCGAATTTAAACTACAAATTTTCCATGATTTCTCTCGAACGCTCATATCTGCTCGAAGCTTATTTTAACATAAACAAATGACGTCACATATTATGAAATGGAATAATTACGACACTTATTTTAATATATTTTTTTGTTATACGTTATTTATATAGTCACAAATATTTAAGTAAATGCTCTGTTTTGTAATAAATATTATTCACAAGATTTAACGCCCTGATATTTTAGGGTTTTAAAATTTTTCTTTTCTCGCCTCCAATTTTATGATTTTATTGCCCCGCTCAGGGTAGGGGCTTGCCAGACTGACTGATAGGGGATGTAGTATTCCAACATCTTATTTAAAATTGTGTGTGTATGTGCGTGTGCGTATGTGCACATTAAATGGCACAGGCACATGTAAGTAACTTGCGCACAACACATACATGCGCATATACATTGCATACACGCATGCAAAGTACACACGCGGTGTGTGACGGCCATAGAATCATCTCTTCTTTTATACAACGGACTGTGGTTATTACCACATTACAAATCCAGGAACTACCTTCTGCAGGATTCGAAACAGAACCCATATCATCAATTTAGAGTTGAGCTGACTCGATGTTGTGACTAAAGGGTCATGGAATAACAAAAGAAGTGTTCACAGATTAGATTATAACAGAAGAGTTAGTACTCGACTTGAGAGTGTTACGGTACACTGATAATATTTAACAGTCACTCCCCCATGAAAGATATATGTGGCACAAGGCCGAGTTTAACGTGGGTTCTCCGAGCCCGTAGGCTAGGCCAAAAATTCCCCGTAGAACCCACATAAACGGGTTCGGGTCTGTCTACTTCCCCGGACGAAAATCTGCCCTTCGGCACAGCCTCGCCCAGGTTGCTCTCTGTCCAAGGCAGCGAGATCGACAGGAGCTTCGAACAGTCACAGCCTCGAAAGACCAGTCTATATCACCGTTAATTATTTAATAGCCACCCACGAGGGATATATGTGGCACAAGGCCGAGTTTAATGTGGGTCATTCGAGCCCGTAGGCTCAGCCAAATATCCCCGTAGAACCCGCATACACGGGTTCGGATCTGTCTACCTCCCCGGACGAAACTCTGCCCATCGGCACAGCCTCGTCCGGGTTCCTTTATGCCCAAAGCAGCGAGTTCGACAAGTGACGGTGCAGTGCCGGTAAACTCATCTCCTCGGTCTCCCTCTACAATCAGCCTTATATCTCGTGGAAGAGTCCACCACCGACTCATTGTGGCTAGTACACCACAACACTAGATGAACCGTAAGTTCTATGTTGACAGTATCTTTTCTCGCACTTCTCGCTTATGGAACTCTTTTTCCGGTTCCATGATCTCTGGCCAATTTTGATCTTCAAAAATTTTAAACGCAATGTCAATCGCTATCTACTTTCTTCCTGATTACTTTTCTGTTGTACTTCTAATACTTCTGTATACGGTCTGGTGCTTCTGCTATATATTTAGAGATTCTTGAATCCAAAGAAGAACCAGTAATATTATTAGTCCTGACCTGGCATCTCGGCTTCAGTCACTTCCTCACCGCCGTAATGTGGCTTCCCTGTGCCTTTTCTATAAATAATTTCATGAAAATTGTTTGGATGAGCTCGCTGCTAGGGTGTCTAGACTTTATGAATTTAAGCGCAACACTAAATTGGCAGAAAGGTCCCATCAATTTGTAGTTGAAATGGTTGGATAAACCGTAAGTTCTATGCTAACAGTTTCTTCTATCACACTTCTCACTTGTAGAACGAACTCTGTTCCGGCTCCACGCTTTACGGCCAACTTTAATTAGCTAAAATGTAAATGCAATGTCAATCGCTATTCACTGCCTTCCTGATTAATCTGCTATTGTTCTTGCTCCTTCAGAATGTTTTCGGCCTTCTAATACTTCTACATATGGCCGGGTGCTTCGGTATATATTTAAAGATTCAAAGGTCCAGTTTACGATAGAGTCGAAAAGGTAGACATAGGTCCAGTATACACTAGAGTAAGGAGAAATGTAGACATATGTCCGGTTTACACTAGACTAATGAGAAATGTAGACCTAGGTCCAGTTTACACTAGAGTAAAGAGAAATGTAGACATAGGTCCGGTTTACACGAGACTAATGAGAAATGTGGGCATAGGACCGGTTTACCCTAGACTAATGAGAAATGTAGACCTAGGTCCAGTTTACACTAGAGTAATGAGAAATGTAGACATAGGTCCGGTTTACACTAGACTAATGAGAAATGTAGGCATAGGTCCGGTTTACACTGTACTAATGAGAAATGTAGACCTAGGTCCAGTTTACACTAGAGTAATGAGAAATGTAGACATAGGTCCGGTTTACACTAGACTAATGAGAAATGTAGGCATAGGTCCAGTTTACACTAGAGTAATGAGAAATGTAGGCATAGGTCCAGTTTACACTAGAGTAATGAGAAATATAGACATAGGTCCGGTTTACACTAGACTAATGAGAAATGTAGGCATAGGTCCAGTTTACACTAGAGTAATGAGAAATGTAGACATAGGTCCGGTTTACACTAGACTAATGAGAAATGTAGGCATAGGTCCGGTTTACACTAGACTAATGAAAAATGTAGACCTAGGTCCAGTTTACACTAGAGTAATGAGAAATGTAGGCATAGGTCCAGTTTACACTAGTGTAATGAGAAATGTAGACATAGGTCCGGTTTACACTAGACTAATGCGAAATGTAGGCATAGGTCCAGTTTACACTAGAGTAATGAGAAATGTAGACATAGGTCCAGTTTACACTAGAGTAATGAGAAATGTAGACATAGGTCCGTTTTACACTAGACTAATGAGAAATGTATACCTAGGTCCAGTTTACACTAGAGTAATGAGAAATGTAGACATAGTTCCGGTTTACACTGTACTAATGAGAAATGTAGACCTAGGTCCAGTTTACACTAGACTAATGAGAAATGTAGGCATAGGTCCAGTTTACACTAGAGTAATGAGAAATGTAGACATAGGTCCGGTTTACACTAGACTAATGAGAAATGTAGGCATAGGTCCGGTTTACTCTAGACTAATGAGAAATGTAGACCTAGGTCCAGTTTACACTAGAGTAATGAGAAATGTAGGCATAGGTCCAGTTTACACTAGAGTAATGAGAAATGTAGTCATAGGTCCAGTTTACACTAGAGTAATGAGAAATGTAGACCTAGGTCCAGTTTACACTAGACTAATGAGAAATGTAGGCATAGGTCCAGTTTACACTAGAGTAATGAGAAATGTAGACATAGTTAAAAAGATAGACATAGATCCAGTACTTATGTCAGGCATTCTAACTCCCCGCATTTGATACAGTAGGAGTAATCTAAAACCAACTAACATCTGTTTTCAGGAACATGCTCCCGAGAGGATGCTTCCCTGATGACTACAATCTTACGTATCATCTTAATATGCCCTGCTTACTTCATACCTTTACGTATTTATAACTATCTATTTCAGTAACCATTTAGCTTGGCTTACTGTCAAGTCCCGCTGAAACGTTCGGTTCTTGTTAGATTAAGTACGTTTTGTTTGGTTCGTTTTACGGCATATCAGCTTCAATGGGTTATTTAATGCCGACAATTTCTTTTTTGCTGGTAATATTTTGTCAAATATCTATTTCTGGCAATATTTTTTCATTCAAAAAAATATTGATGTTAATGTATTGCTGGTAATAATTTTGTAAAAAACATTTTTTCTGGTATTAAAACCTATTTTTACACTTTCATAATGTTTTTACCCCAGTTTCGGGGTTAATTATTTGCCTATAGTTGGGACCATAACAGATGCTACCACCCCGGGTCAGGATGGACCTGGGAACACCAACAATTAAGAGGTGGTTCCACGCTCCTCAAAACCTCCTGATCAGAAGCCTTGCTGTTGGACGTAGTTCATCATCTAACCCAGGACGCGGATGTAGTTTATCGTCATACCCAGAATGGAGATTAAGTAAGTACTTAGATGGGTAACCGCTTGGAAACACCAGGTGCTATAAGCTTTAAATCACCCAAAAAGGATTTGTAAACCGTAAAAAAAAACAACAATCAATAAAACTCTCTACCTTGAGGGTCTCTTGCGCTTTGTATTGAATAGACAATAGTTTTTTGGGTTTTTTTAAATGGATGACAGGTTAGGGACTGCAAAGACGAAATGGGTGTTAAAGGAGCAAGTGTTGCTAAGAGTAACAGATAAAAGAATTTGTGCAGGCACATGATTAAATGGAAAGAGAATGGGGTCACTCTTCTGACATCTAAACACTTAGCCAATGTGTCTTTTTCCGACCCACATCACTATGCATTAATTCCTGGTCTTTTTGACAAGTAAACCTGATTTGGCTTTCCTACCTTCCTCTTCTCTTCTAGATTCTCTACTGAAAAAAAAAACTGCGTCTGTTTCGGGGTCGGGACACCAAGTCCGTCTTCCCGCCAGTACCACCGCGACCCACCACCAGCAATCCAGTACACCCCGTACTCTTTTTGTAAGTGTAAATGTCTTAAATAGTTGAGCCTTAAGGCCACTGCCTAACTGCAGACAGTAGTCGACGCCGTCATCAACCAGCTTGTTGTCGAGTGGCAGATCCTACTTTTTCTATTCTCCGCCTTCTTTGTACGCTTCTTTTCTCCTTACTCTTCTTTTCTCCTTACTCTTCTTTCCTCCTTACTCTTCTTTACTTTTTCGGCTTGTTTTTTTCTTCTTGAGTCTTCTGTCTGTCGTCTCACACGTCTTTTTTTTTCTCATTTTCAGTCGCTTGTGGCCACTAGTTTTTGCCTGTGCCTTCCCCACCAGGGATTGATTGGCTGTCACACTGGTTACCTTGTTACCTTACTAAAGGCAGGTGTCTTTTCTTCAACGCTGTCAAGTACACTCATTCGTTTGGATTGGTTTGGTTTGTTTTACGGCATATCAACACCTCAATGGGTTATTTAATGCCGACAACATTTTTAGGATAGATTCGTATGAATAGAATATGTATTCCTTGGTTTAGATTGGTTTGGTTTATTTTGTTTTACGGCATATCAAGCCAATGGGTTATTTAATGCCGACAACATTTTTAGGATAGATTCGTATGAATAAAATATGTATTCCTTGATTCAGATTGGTTTATTTTGTTTTACGGCATATCAAGCCAATGGGTTATTTAATGCCGACAACATTTTTAGGATAGATTCGCATGAATAGAATATGTATTCTTTGGTTTAGATTGGTTTGGTCTATTTTGTTCTACGGCATGTAAATCTTAATGGCTTATTTAATGCCCACAAGTTTTTATTGTTGGTAATATTTAAATCTATCTATCTATCTATCTATCTATCTATCTATCTATCTATCTCTATATATATATATTGGTTTGTTTTGTTTTGTTTTACGGTATATTTACGGGTTATTTAATGCCGACAAGATTATTATATTTTTGTTAAAAAATGTATTGCTGGTAACATTTATTTTTTTAACTGCATTGCTGGTAATATTTTAACAAAAATGTACTGCTGGTAATATTTTTTTTTCGAAAATGTATTACTGGTAACATTTTTTTTAATGCATTGCTGGTAATATTTTAAAAAAATATACTGCTGGTAATATTTTTTTTCAAAAATGTATTGCTGGTAATAATTTCTTTTAAATGTATTGCTGGTAATATTTTTTCAAATTTGTATTGCTGGTAATAAATTTTTTTCTTCAAAATTCATTGTTGGTAATTATTTATAAAAAATGTATTGCTAGTATTGAAACCTATTTTTCAACTTTCATAGTAGAATTGGGTGAATCTAATGGTGATTGCGAAGGTACAGCAGCTTGGAAAAATCGATCTGATCGTTCTGATAAGAAAAAAAAACTCGTGAATTTGTTGGAGAGGGCCTCGGACTCAACACGGAGACATACATCAAATGCCTTGAGGATCAAGAGGGTGGCTGCTGGAAGACCCTATGTTTGGCAACATGACTCTTCACCATGCCACACAAGCAAGAGAACCCAGTTATGGTTGTCAGACAATTTCTGCGACCACATCACCCCTTATATCTTGCCACCTAACTCCCCAGACTGCAACTCCCTTGATTATTATGCGTGGGGCGCAGTTGAGGGATAAAGCAAAAAAAAAAAAACTCCTTGTAACAACAAAGATGAACTGAAAGCAAGGATTATGGTAGCATTCACTAACTTAAACAAGGAGACCGTCCAGAAGAGATGCAGGAGATTCTGAAGTCGTTTGGAGGCCGTAGTTGAAGCTAATGGCGATTTTATTAAATAATTTTACTCTTTCGTATTTCAAGATATTTTTGTGGCATTTTTGTAAATATATCTGATAAAATGAAATGTCAGCTTTATTTTCATTTTTGCGGAATTTAGACGACAATTTATCTATTGTTCTATATATATATATATATATATATATATATATATAGAGAGAGAGAGAGAGAGAGAGATAGCTAGATAGATAGATAGATAGATAGATAGATAGATAGATAGATAGATAATTAATAGAATGAGATAGATAATGAATAGAATGAGATAGATAGATAGATAGATAGATAATGAATAGAATGAGATAGATAGATAGATAGATAAATAGATAGATAGATAGATAGATAAACTCATAAAAGAATAGATAGATAGATAGATAGATAGATAGATAGATAGATATAATAAACTCAGTTATAAAAGAGATAGATAGATAGATAGATAGATAGATAATGAATAGAATGAGATAGATAGATAGATAGATAAATAGATAGATAGATAGATAAACTCATAAAAGAATAGATAGATAGATAGATAGATAGATAGATAGATAGATAGATATAATAAACTCAGTTATAAAAGAGATAGATAGATAGATAGATAGATAATGAATAGAATGAGATAGATAGATAGATAGATAAATAGATAGATAGATAGATAAACTCATAAAAGAATAGATAGATAGATAGATAGATAGATAGATAGATAGATATAATAAACTATAAAAAGATAGATAGATAGATAGAGATGAATAGAATGAGATAGATAATAGATAAAATAGAATGATAGATAATTAATAGAATGAGATAGATAGATAGATAGATAGGTAATAAAATTTCGATCATACCTATCGTCTTTCTCTTCCCCTCTCTCTATCTCTATCAACTTAAAACTACCCCTACAAAAACTTGTATAAAAATAATACTATGTAAATTTTTAAATCATTTATTTTATGTTTGGAAATGGGATCTGAGGAACCAGGAAAAATCCATTTCATGGGGAAATAAAATACGATCGAGATACCCTTACGGTTGTCTGTTTTAATTAAACTAGTATATATATATATATATATATATATATATATATATATATATATATATATATATATACTAGCAGCATGGCCCGGCGTTGCCCGTGCTTGATTCAAAAATCGTACGACTCATACAGCAATCACTATCAGTTGACTTAAAATATGTTTGCCCTTCTTTGCCTTTAAAGGAGTGCCCTTTGCCGTGCTGATGTTGCTACATGCCTTACTTCTTGCCTATCTCACATTGTGAATTTTTTCTAAGCTCTATACTGAACATTAAATCTGTTACGAAAAAAGAACTAAACAAAATGAACACAAAACGATCAGCTTTAAAAAAGGACTCGTAACTGGAAAAACCGAATGAAAAAATGAATGTTAACAACAAATACTTTTTCACACCCAACCCAGATCTGCGGAATCAGAATCAACGTTGGGTTTAAGCAAGCGAATGAGTCAATTGGAGTAAAGTGCCATGCAAATATAAATTTTTCCTACTTGTGACGAATGCAGCTATCGATTTTTTTTGCATGCTAGCATTCTAGTTAACATTCGTGTCGGTCAGCTGTTGGCTCTCACGCTGGCCCATAGAATTTTACTGCCTATTCGTGGCAGCCAACTATAGGCTCTCACTCTGGCCAGTAGAAAATGGCCGCAAACTACATGAAAACTGCCGTAGAAGCATGAAAAAATCGATTATTTCTACTATCGATGGGAGTTGGGAAATGCAAATTCGGTTGTGGCCTTTCCACTAACTTGGAGCATGTGCATGTAAATTTTGGTGCAAATCCGTCGAAAATTGCGGCCGTGCATTCGTTACACACACACACATCCTGCTTTTTATAGATAGAGATATGTGTGTGTGTGTGTGTGTGTTTGTGTGTGTGTGTGTGTATTGAAATTGAAAACACATGGCACAGGGAATAAAGGCGTTGGTTAGATCCAGTGACAGGACCCAAAGAGTGTGAGTTCAATACCCGCTTAAGGCAGTGGAGAACTTGGAGAGGGGAATTAACAGGAGAAAATTGACAACTGACATCCATTAAACATGGCACGCGGAACTCGAACAGTCTACTCCAGTGAGCGAAATAAAGGGTTCAGTTCGACATTCCAACCACCTGAAGAAGGCCGGAGCGTACAACGGCCGAAACGTTGTAATAAATATGGCAAGAAAGATGAGGGTAATAGTCCGAATAATGTAAATAGTGTACAAAAAGCAGTATTAAACTTCTCGGACATTCAGGCCGGTAAATGTTGTTTAATACTGTTTATTATTAACAAACCATTTACTTAAATATTTGTATCTATAAAAACATAAAAATGTCTTAATATATATATATATATATATATATATATATATATATATATATATATATATATATATATATATATATATATATATATATAGAGAGAGAGAGAGAGAGAGAGAGAGCACTCCAGTCGTTGGGCATTTGTTTACCTATGTAAAGAAAAATACGCTAGATTTGACTGGATCTTTCTGTCGAGTGAAGATAGTTTAGTGGTAAGAACTCCGACTGACACCAAATCAGTTGTGTTTCAATCCTGGCTTGAAGCATACGGATGTCTAGTCGCACTGAAGAGCTGTGATACGGCGAAATAGTATTGTCTGCCAATTATATATATATATATATATATATATATATATATATATAGAGTCTGTTTCATGCTAAACGCAATCGTCAGACCATGTGCGTTTAGCATCAAACAGTCTGTTGCCTCTGGGTGTTGACTTCAGTGGCCACTTTTTATATTTATATTTAAGTACGCTCTATTCCTGATATTACGGACTTTATCCCATAAATATTGTATAACTATATTAGGTTGGTGCAAAAATAATGACGTAATAATGTCGTTTTTAACGTCAGAAAACGACATTATTACGTCATTATTTTGCACCAACCTAATATTTTATGACACATGAACAGACACACACACACATGCACACACACACACACACACACACACATATATATATATATATATATATATATATATATATATATATATATTTATATATGGAGGTGTATGTGTGTGTGCATATATAATATATATATATATATAATGTGTGTGTAAAGATGTAGATATATAGATAGTCATTTTGAAGCAATTAATGGATTTTTTTATCCGACATTATTTTTTTATTTTTATAAAAGTTATAGTCAGTGGATTGACGTGCTTAAGTAGGGACCCCATTTTAAAAACCGACAAATTAAAGTCTACCGGCCTAGAAATCGAGCGCATTTTTTCTTTTCTTTTTTTTAAACGAAAAGCAAAGTATGTATCTTTAAATCGTATTGTATCCTTCCAATTTATTAATCATTTGTTATGAATCTAGACCAGAATTGTAAATAAGCTGCCCAAAATTCATGTCTTTGATCTTTATTTTGAGTACTTTTGAACGTTTCGTTCATT